ATTTAGTAATTAACAAACATTTAGCAAAATAGATAGTACTGCAATAAAAAAATTGCTGCAATAATATCGTACACCGCAATATTGAGCCACCCTGAATCACCGCAGGGGGAATTCCTCAACCGCGACAGCCCTACTGATGATGCTTTTTGACGCTGATCAGTGACATCATTCACTGCCGTAGCATTGCAATATGCAGACGTCTCTGCAAACATCCGTAAAGGCTGAATTTGAATGGATACACAACAGCATATTTCTCGCTCACTTTTACGAAGTTCCAGCAATGGAAACACGCCTATAGTACCCACTGCTTCTGTTAAAACTGCCCAGAAAGAAGCCCATCACCAATAATCAGGCTGATACACCATGTACAGTCTGCACATCGTCTATTTCCCCTTTGTGTTGATTTATATCGTTCTAACACGATTATCAAATCCGAGAAACTTGTATGTAGAATTAATTGTTCTCATGTCTGTCTGTCACTCTGACCTGGAAGATGAAATGTTGTCTCTTCATAAGAACATTCTCAGTTAAGTGATGTCCATATGAAGTATGCCTTGTAATGTGCTTTAATGTAAAGTGTTTCACAAGAGCTTAAACATCAGCAAATGTTAAAGCTTTGATGCCTGACAGGAACAAACTCCACACAGCTTCCTTGTGTCACCTCCTGGGAGGCTCAAGGAGCATTAATATTATTCCTCAGGATATCTTCAGATGACTTATGGGAAATGTGTTAACTAAGCGTCTTCCATAAGTACGCTTTATGTCCTCCTCCTCTTACAGAATCTGGTTTACGGCGCTGATCTAAGTGAACACTGTGCTGGGGAGAAAAGATCAAAACATTATGTTGGTCCCAGATGTTTGGTAGCACACATGCATTAAGCCTGTCATACTCCCCTTTTCTGTGCAACTCCAGCACAGGAAACCTTGGGGATAAAAATGATAGGAGACTATGAAGTGAAAAGAAATCTTGAGAGAATCAATGTAAGAAGTTTAAAGACAAATCTAAACTAAGTGGGTTTATTAGTATCAGCACATGTCGATATGTTTCTCACTCATTAAATGACCCACGCTTGTGTTTTTTTTCTGAGTCTGTCAGCAAAAATATCTCACAGACTGGACTAAGTTTAATGAAGAAGTCTTCATTAGATCTACATCATCAATTCAAGCTGACCACCAGAGCAAATCAAGTGTTATAAAACAACAAATGGCTTCAACTCTCTCAGTTCAACAGATATCGATTTATATTTAGAGGTGGTAGTGGATGTGGGCGACATACTGAAAATTTACCAATACTGACATACTGACTCTACCACCGTCATTGTAGCCGTACAGATAGTTATTGTCCATTCATCGTTATTGAGGTGAACCGTTCCATGTCATAAGCCCAAATCTCCAAGCCCTAAGAGGTAGGAGCTGAGTCATCTACATTGTGCCAACAGATCAAGAACGGTTCAAACTTCATGTCTCTACACCTTAAGTTACAACACTGATGTGAGAAGAAATGAAGGTTACCCATTTCTTCAAAGAAAGCTAGAACTTTTCCCTAAAGAATAATTTGTTTTCGTGTTTTTTACTTTTTGGGAATGACTATGAATTACGAAACTTGGCAGTCATCACTTAAGTATGAACAAACCAATAAAAAATATACTCCAATCAATGTCAATAACTCCATTTTATTTCATCTTTCAGTGTGCCCACCCTAACCCTGGCAGTCCCAGGTGTGTTTACTTTAAAAATGTATAACATAACTCAAAAAGGCAAAATAATGTGTATGTAACAGTTAGTGACCATGTGAGCACCCAGTGAAACAGTGGTGCTGTAAAATGGTTAGTAACACAAGACTGAGCAGTAGTAACTTCTGTGTGCAGCTGTATAAACGGACTCAGTACACATTCCCTGGGCAATTAATTAAAAACAGTTTTACGGTAGTTAATATCCACACGTACAGATGTAAACTTGGCTTGATACATAAACACAACAGAAAGTATCACATCTTATGGACAAAGTTATAAAAACATACAAAAAAAATAACGGACCTGGAAGCAATTTTGGCACAGATGAGATGTGCAACTATTAGCAGTTCATTGAAGTAAGTATTTTAGTAGCTATTATGAAGGGCAAATCCCCCATCTTAAAAGGTTTATGCCGAGGGCTCCGAGACAAAAAATAAAAAAAAAAAAGAAAACAGCTCTTAGTTTATACGAGGTCATAAAGGACTGTAATGATACTGGGGAAATTGGTTTCTGCGGAGGGGGTGATGGTGGGAGAAAAAGGGGAGGTGAATGACCGGGGGGGGGGCTGATTGAAAAATGCTTAAAGAAAGGGATGGAAGGAGAAAAAATATATACATCTGACTGAAAAGGAAAGAGGTCACATTGTGTACATATGAATGCATGAGAGTAAAGTCGAGTAATTTAGGGTTGATAGCACATGGTAGAATTAAGCCTTAGTTCAGCTGTCCTTCATTAGAACGAAGCCTGCAGTGCAAAAGCGATCGACTCGCACAAGTAGTGCAAACTCAATCTGCTCTTTATTAGAAAAACAGCTGGGGGTACATGACAGCTTGACTGGACGCTCTCACACTGTAAACTCTCTGTGACCTTCATTAAATTGTTGCATGCAGTGGTTCACCAACAGTTTCAATGGATAACCTAATCACTGCCATGTGAGTCTGATGGCAGGCGGCACCGACAGGTAAGATGCCTTTAACAAGCTGCTCAGTCAGTAAAACCAACAGGATCCCAAAGCAGCAGCAGGAGGTGGAATTTCATTTACATAAACATTTTTATAATATTTCGTTAAACGAAGTCAAATTAAGTTAGTCAAATCTAATAATTGATTTAGCTGGTATGTATGTTTTTACTATCAGTGACCATTTTTATGTTTAGGTTTGGAGGAAAACAAATTAGTTTCGACCAAATGAATGAGCTAAGAGACAGGATCAGAGCGGTCCATCTGTTTTACTGACCCAACATCAGGATGTGAAGGTAAGAGACCCGAAAGGAACGCCGAGACATCTCTCCTCTCAGCAACACTTTCTACATCCCAAGGTGTTCCTGGGACAGATGGGATTTATAATCCCCCTTTCTGAGCATTCCCCAGAAGTCTCATCCATGTGGGATGTGCCCAGGAAAATTCTGTGGTTATTTGCAGTAGTAACTAGTCAAGAGTCAAGAGTCAAGAGTCATTTATTGTCATATTCTCCACATGTGCAGGACATACAGAGAAATGAAATTCAGTTTCAGCACACACAATTCAAAGATCAGACATACGTGGGTAAGACACATAACAAGAATTGGTGACTGCGGTCATTCGCAACATGAGTCGCGCTACCTTAATAGTTAGATGAAAAGGGTGTTACATGAGAAAAGTTCAGGGAGGGGAAAAAAAGGCATTAACAGGGTTACACCAGCAGGGTGTAGCACTCCAATGCAAAAAAACACCCGACATGGAAGCACAGACAGCACGTGTACAACATCAGAGTCCAATGGGGAGGTGGGGGTAGGCGGGATCCTGAAGCCTCCAATGGGAGCTGCCACTGCGGCGCATCGACCAGCTGCAGAACAACAGGTGGGAGGGAGAGATAAGGAACAGAGAGCACACTGAGGTCCCTGCAGATATAGCCTGAAGGGAGAGGGTGAAGGTCGGGACACAGCATCTGTCGGCATTCCTCCTTTTGTGGGGGTGTGTTGAGGCAGCCTTGAGAGGCTGCTATGGCGTCAGATAAGGATAAACATAACTTTGTTTAGGGTAGACAGAGATAATCTTCCCCTCCGTCTTGTAGTCTCTAAGTGGTCATTCATGTCCACCAGTGAAGCCAATTTTACATTCCACATCCCCGCATCGTCCGGCGACCCTCTCCGAGATCAAATCCATCTTGCGCACTAACACAGGCAACGCCGCAAGGACATTGTCCAGCTTACGGTTCACCTCGAGTAACGTCCCAGTCTGTGAGGTCACCGCACGGGCGGCACATTCCGTGGGTACGGGTCGCACTCCAATTGCTCCCGTCTTCCCAAATTTCCAGAAAACCAGATATCCTCCCACTCCAATCAGAAGAAATCCAGTGATCATCAGGCCGAATATCCACAAATCTTCCACGTCCTCGATGGACAGCTGAGAGAGGCACACGATTCGCTAGACCTCCCAAGAATCGAGTGCATATCCCGATGCGAATGTCCCCTCGGGACAGGTGGGAGCCCCCTTCTCCGTTCTCATCGTAGAGAAAATTTTGTCAATCACGTTGAATGACCAATTAATTAAGTCCATATTTCCAAAAAGAGAGTAGTGGTTTCAGGAGAAATGCAGAGAAGTGCTCTGTAGGCAGACAGGACAAGAGCCTTGGGGAAGCCGATAAGGGAGCTGAGAAAAAAGCGTCTGTACTCTCTGAAGGCTGAAGAAGAAACTAGCAACAGAGCTAGCTTTCTGTAGCTCTTTCAGCATTAATTTCATAATATTTCTGTTAAAAAAAAACAGCAGAGCAGCATTCTTATGAAGCTATAACTGTCTTTGTGATTTTGGTTGTTTAAACGGACAGAAATCCATCTTAGAACTGGTCTCAATGAGACTAGCTGTTAGCTTATCAATCTGGTCAGAACCACTCTGATTCTCCAAACCTAGGTCACATTAAAGAGCTTTATTCAACAGTTAAGATTATTAGGCAAGGCACGACTGCTTTACTTGTATAGCACATGTCATACACAGAGGCAATTCAAGGTGCTTTTCAGGAGAAACAACAGAAAAATAACAGTTTAATTCAAATACACAAATAATCAGCTGTTTAACTGGATCACGGAAACTCGCTGTAAAATATCTGAACCGCTGCTTTAAGTGGAGAAACTGAACTAACACAACCTTCTAACTAAAAAAAACTTTATCCTACTGAAACAAAGACTCTGATTTATTAACTGATTCCTTGATCCTTGTTTTACGGCTCATACTGGTGTACTTAAGTGTGTGTGGATGTGTGTGTGTGTGTGTGTACTTGTGAGCTGAAATACCTTTAACAGCCTCGTCCACTACTTCCACAACCCGATCAATCTGTTGGACCTGAAACGCAGACAGAGACACATGGGACAAAGGTTATTGATGCAGACATAAGAAGTCCACGCGGTCCAACACAGGATATCGGCGACCTACAAGCACACACTGATTCAAGCTTAAGCAGGCGGGGAGGGTGAATATACGGGAAGGCAATGTGCAACCGGTAGAAATACAAACAAGGGCAAATTGAAACATTTGCAACAAGCTTTCTCCAGTTCGGCTTAGGTGATTTCCTAAATGCCACCGAGCGTGTGTCTGTATAGGAAAAAAAAACGCGGTGTGTATTGAACAATGTATTAAGACTGCAGAATGGGTTTAATGATGTGAAACAAAGAAGAAAAGAGCTAGAAGGTGAAATAAATAATCGTTTAGACAACAACAAAGCAGAAAAACAGAAAACTAAAACAAATTTGTGCTCCAATTGAAAACTTTGTTTTCTTACTGCAGAAACATCCCGCACTTCTGATCATCTACACGAGAAAACCAATAGAAGCTAAATACCAAAAAAGAGCCTAAATATTTCAAACGGATTTTATTTGTCTACCATTTCACATCTGAAGGGAATAAAAGAAAGAGATAAAGAAGCAAAGGCCGAGAACTAAAGAGGTGGAAAATGTCATATTACATTTTCTCTACATAAATTCTCTTTTCATTCCTCCCAGCATCGCTCCAAGACCTAATTCTCTTACTTTCTCTATTCAGAGCGGTTTGCACTCTGGCCGCTCCCACTGGCTCTAGGTGCCTCCGGGTCCATTACCCGCCAAACCCTTTCCCCCCCTCACACACTCTCACGTGGATACACACTGTGCGTCGCAGGCAGCCGTTGCATGCATGTTACACACTGAAGTAAAACCTATTTCCCTGTAATAGCCACGCAATCTGGATCCATTCAGAGCAGCAGCAGGCGTCCCTTCTTACAGTAAAGGTTTGGTAATGTCTACATTTTGCAAACTAAGTCAGAGCTCCCCTTTTCATCTCCGTTCTCAGAATGCAGCCTTGTGAAAAAAACAAACTGTTCACATAAAAGCACATAACAACAGGAAAAAAATCATCAGTAAACGGCATCAGTTACTCTATAAAGTTTTTTTTTAATCTGTAAAATAATCAGATTACATTCAGACACATGTCAGAGTTAGAGAAGCTTTGTATTAAGTTACCGCTTTCCAAACTTTTCCTTTTCCAGTACTGAGCAATTACATAACGTTTCATTGAGTAAGCCTTCCAATAAGACCAAGCGTTTTCCCGCAAATTCCTGCAGATTCCAGAGTGTGCAACCCTCAGGTTCCAAAAAAGATCCATAACATCCAGAGCTCTACGTTTGTTCAAGGGTCTTTTAGCAGCTATAGACGTGTGACCACCGTACATTTGCTGCTAGGAATCATTTAGATATATCAAATGATTGTTTTGTCTGCACATATGTGCCTGTGTCTAACAGGTGTGTGGTTACCACTGTAACCCCAATGCGCCACTGCCAGGAGCGATAACATTTCTGTTGATCTCGGTCTTTCTGACACTTTTAACAGTTTATACATCAACATGCAGACACTTCCTTTAAAGTAAGTCCAACATTAGTGACGTGCTTTACACAAATGAAAATTGTGGAAATTTAAAATGGTGACTGCCCTTCAAAATCAGAAATGTTCCACAAAAGTTTATATTTCTGTTCATTGTACCTCTATTTTGTCTTGCATCCTTTACATTACTGACACACACACACACAGACACACACACACACACACACACACACACACACACACACACACACACACACACACACACACACACACACACACACACACACACACACACACACACACACAGGATAACTGTGGGGGTGTTGAGAAATGGGAGAAAGGGTAGAAAGAGGAAACAGAGAGGTTGTGGGAGGTCAAGGCCTCAGCGGTGCCAGTGGTGATGCACTTGGGGCTCTGACTGGGAGAGCAGCCCCTACACATCCCAGGAAACACCTCATGGATCTCATTCCTAGGAACGGCAAAGATACTGTGAAGAACCCTCAAGCTCCCAGTCTGTGGTAGCGGGACTTGAGTTAGATGTGGAGATAAAGAGCAACCAACCATGCGGGATATAGTGGTGTAAGAAGGGCATGCTCTGAGTTTTTTAATATAAATAAAATTTTTAAAAAGCACATTTCCTAACAAGGACTGTTTTAGAAAATAATTACATGGTTTAGGCATGGACTTTCACCAATCTAGCCCACTCAGATACTCCTAGAAATACTGCTCTTTAAGGCCCAAAGTGCAGCATACCCATTGTGCTCTCTGATTACTCATCTGCTACTGTGTGTGTGTGTGTGTGTGTGTGTGTGTGTGTGTGTGTGTGTGTGTGTGTGTGTGTGTGTGTGTGTGTGTGTGTGTGTGTGTGTGTGTGTGTGTGTAGTGGTGTGTGATGTGTGTCAGACGCAGGATGTGACAAGTCTAGTTCAGAGAAGTGAAACACTGCATGCTTGCGTGACTACCTGTGTACCTTACACAAAGTACACTGTCATTTATTTCATGGCAACTTAGGAGACGAGAACAGAAGCACAAGCACACAAAAAGCCCACACACAGAGGTCACTTATAGAGAACGGATTCAAAAGAAAGAGCCTTTTTATAACTCCATCCTTATCTAGCCGTTAGGGCAATCACTATAGACAAATTCTGAGCTTGTTATTTGCATCTCATTTGAATAACCCACCAACTGCCACTGTCATTATGGAGTTGATTGTAACTACCACAAAAACAAAATGAGAGTGTTTGCCTTCTCCTATATGTCTCTGTGTGTTTTAACAATGTGAGCCTGTTTGTGCATGAAGCCGTGAGCTTGTGTCCGTGCACGATTTAAAATAGCAATCAGGAGTCCGTTATTGTAGCGGAATCCAGCAGCCCGGCAGGGACCGACATGCAGGGAGTTTGGCGCTAAAACCGACTCATACTTTAACATTAATCAGGTAAAATCCTCCTCACTGCAAATCAGAAACCTTCTCTTCACTTTTTAAAGGGATCATACATAAAAAATGTCCATAAAATTGTTTCTAACAAAAAACATTTTACAGGACTGCAGTCAAACAAACTGAACAAAGACATCTGGGCTTCTGGAGAAAAGTCATGCATAGAAAACAATGAATGTTTGTGTTTGTGCGTTTTTCTTAAGAAAACATGAAACTGTGTTCTCAACTTCCTGTGATTATGCTTATTGCTCATTTTGACCTGCCACAGTGCTGGGCAATAAATCCAAAATGTATCGTTATCAAAATGTCTGACTCCTAGAGAAAATTTTTCCCATGTCAATAGCTTTGATAATAAAAATGAAAAGATGTGTGTAGGTTGGCAACGTTCACGGTCCTTTATGTAGCTGTACCACCTTGAGTCACGTAAGAATGTGACTCAACGTGATACATGTGACAGCCCCATCTAGTGGACAACTTTTGTTTCTGCGCATTCCTGTAGATATCGTCCATTTATCGTTATCGAGGTGAAATCCTCAATATGTCGTGATATTGATTTTAGGCCATATCGCCCAGCCCTAGCCTGCCACAGCATCAAGTTTTACTCATCCCATTAAAATAGGCAGTCCAAGCAAACGCTGAGTTCATGACATAAAAACAATAATATAAATGTAAGAAAGGTGCTTTTGGTTCAAAGAACAAACATTTCAGAACACATACCCCAATAATGCTGAGCCCTTTGAGGTAGTCCATCCGTGGCTGAGCTTGGGGAACACAACCTGCTACAACCACCTTTTTCTGCTGATCCTGGGCTTTTCTGTCCACAAAAATAAGAAAGATTATTATTAGGTTATGGATTTTTGACATAAAAAGTCTTCCTAATTTCAGTTTCTAAATAAATTCAAATAAACAAGTGACAAATGGATGGCTTCACCTTGAAACTTGAAAATAAAATACATTCCATAGAAATATTTGCTTATGAACTCATCGAAAACATTTTCTGAGCTAGTAGTAAAACTATTGTAGGGCTCAAATGAATGGTTATGCACGTCCATCATTCAGCGAAAATCCAACCTTTGAAAAGTGATAAAATCATATCCCAACCTTTAACCTAACCTACAATCCTATGGGTGTCAGGTGGGATTAAAAATGCAAAAAAAAAATAAAAACCCTGCAAATTCACCCATACTCTGCTTGAGCAGCTTAATCGGTAAAAGGGCAATCTGAAACTAAAAAATACAATTCTTTCTAGGTCTGTAAATGCATCACTGCTAAGCTGTCATGCAAATCTGACTTTTTTCCAAGTCCATGAACACTGGGCACCAATTCACACCATCAGGACCACACTTTTACAGTTAATCAGAAGTTTAATAAAAACGTACATTTATTTAATTGTAGTTATCTGGAAAAAAATCTGAATTTGCAGAGTTTGATGTCTATGCTCAGAGCTAAATAAGAATTGAAAATGTTTAGCACAAAAAAATAAAAACACACCAAACAAACGACTTTCATTCAGTTTTTCTTGTTACTTTTTACCCAGCGTGCAAGTTCTATGTCTTCAGTCAGATTTTTGTTTCCTGTTTCAGTGTTTTCTCCCAGCAGCACAAGCATGAATACATAGACGCCCCATTGGGGGCTGGTGGGCGAAGCAGTGTCGTTGCCATATTGGATGGGTCTCTTCACTCTCCAAAGTCAATGCAGAGTGAGCAACTATGCCCGTTTTGAGCAGCTTATGGTTACAACAACCGGCGTTCTATTAAAAACTGATCACGTGGGAATACCAGTTGCTTTTCTAGCCTGCCTGATGGGATTTTAAATTTTTATTTACTTTGTTTAGTTATATGTGTATTTTAACTATCATGCAATACCATGTGTATGATTTTATAAAAAAGCTTGATAAAAATAGATTTTCTGTTGGGTTATCACTTTCCTCAGTAGAAATTAATGCACTGGTGGCGAATGGAGACCCATACAAGATGGCGGCTGGCCACTATGGCAGCTCCAATAGGCAGTGCCAGGCCGCGGAGCCTCTACGTATATATGTCTGTGCCCAGCTGCATCACAGCGCTACATACAGGCCTGGCACAGATACTGTTCCACAGTTTCAGTGTTTTGAGAGATTTTGTGTGGATGAAGGCATTTCAGTTCAATTCAGTTCAATTCAAAAATACTTTATTAATCCCAGACAGAAATTGATTGCTGTAGTAGCTCAGAATAATAATAATAATCAAGTCATCAAAGAGTTATTGTATATTACAATGGCTGTTGGCAGGAAGGATCTCCAGTAGCGGTCAGTGTTGCAGCCAAACTGAAGAAGCCTCTGACTGAAGACACTCTTCCATTGTCGGACAGTCTTGTGAAGAGAATGCTCAGGGTTGTCCATCATTTTCTTGATTCTCTGGAGAATCCTTCTTTGCATCATCTCCTCCAGCGGTTCCACAGTCGTCCCCAGAACAGAACCAGCCTTTTTTATTAGGCTGTTGAGCCTTTTCAGGTCCCTGCTTCTGATGCTGCTACCCCAACAGACGATGGCTGAAGAGATTACACTCTCAACAACAGACTTGTAGAAGATCTGCAGCATCTTGCTACAGACATTGAAGGACCTAGGCGTCCTCAAGCAGTGCAGTCCGCTGTGCCCCTTCTTGTAAACGGCTTTGCTGTTCTTTCTCCAGTCCAGTCTGTTGTCCAGCTAAACTCCAAGGTATTTGTATTCCTCAACCACACAACCGCTTGTATTCCTAAGCACAATGCCAAATCTACAAGGATATCTTCAGAGTAGAGAAATAAAACAAAAATTCTGAAGGAGGGAGAAAAATCTTTCTGTGATGACATAAAAGATGCTGTCCTACAAACCCTTATAAATCCAGAAGACAGACAGGAAACCATTATGGCATTTCAAATAAAACTAATAGTGACAAATGTAAAGGGCACACTAAAAACTGTGAATGTTCTCTTTCTGAAAATAGTGACAGTAATATCTGGTGATTGAAACAAAACCTTTAATGAGTGAAAATATTTCATCTCAGATGGCCACGTGTGCGACATGCAGCATGAAACGGTCACCGCCAGTCAGGAATAATCATTAGTAACACGTCCGTTAGAAATAAGAAGAGATGTCACAGATCTTATATAAATGTCCCTAACAAAGGCAAGCTATGAGGATAGCTACTATTATGGTGTAGTAAGTAGGGCTGGGGGTAAACGATTATTTTTAAAACGATTATTCTGACGATTATTTTATCGAATAGTCGTCTATTCTAATGACTATTTATACAATTAATCTAATGATTATTTTTCTATTGCACAATTAACAAAAACCAGAAAATCTCAAATAAATTCCTCAAAAAAATTGATAAATTCTTACTGTAAGAGAATAAACACTACAGGCCTTCCATTTTGTATAACACTGCTTTTATTGTGTTGGTTGGTTATGTTCTGGTGACGTGTAGAACTTGGGAGTGCAGGCTGCTGCCTGAGAGGTGGTAGAAGATGGAGTGTCTCCATGCTGCTTTGTTTTGGTCACTTATGTGCGTGAGGCGAGTGGTCTTACGGGTTAAACCAAACTCAGGTTATATTTTACACTAAACCGAAAACCCACAACACTCTAAATGTAATAAAAGGGAGATCTACACCACAAAAAAGATGAACTCTAAACCAAAACATAACAGCTTATCCCAACGCAAGAAGCTGTTAGCGAAGATGCTAACAGTAGCTTTACCAATGTTAAGTTCAAGTTGCCAAGTTTAAATAAACCAAAATACCCAGCAGCAAACAGACCAGCACGGAGGAGAGACTGCTACCACCAAAACAGCTCTCCTCATGTCTGAAAGAAGCTCCTTTATTAAGGGAGAAGCGCTCCCGGTGATTTTCTACATCTGCGATAGACACGAAGCAGCGCATCTGACCCCGGAAGTTGTTGTCTGTTGCCGGGAGACGAAGGCGGGCAAAACAGGAAAGGAATCTAGTAGTGGACGGACATTGTTCAGGGTCTTCGGTATTTGGCGGAGATGTTAGTGAAGGCGGAGAAGAGGGCGAACTAGAGGAAAAACGGGCAGATTCCTCCTCTATTTACAAACTCCTGGGGATGCAACATGTGGGCGCGGTGCGTCGACTTCCGGATCTGACGTCGACAAATTTTTAGAATCGAGCCGTCGACTTCGTCGAGGCTTCGCTACAGCCCTAGTAGTAAGCCATAAGGAAAATGTAAGTAATGTATGTTCAATAGTCATTCTAATAAAACATGCCTGTTTGTAGAAAACGTGTGTGTTCGTGCGGGTGGGGTGGTGTGGTGGGGGCGGTTGGGGGGGGGGCGCTCAAATGGGGCCTCGCCCGGGGAGTAATTCCGTGTAGAACCGCCACTGTGCATTTGTGTGTGCGAGCATGCACACATGATCTGTACGAGTCTACGTGTCACCTCCAGTTAGTGGCAGTGAGATGTGAGACACGCGGTCTGTCTGACAAAAGCTTTTCGAGGAGCTGCCCAGACTCTGCCATAAATCTTTAATAATGAAGCCTCCTGACAGCTGGAGTGGGAGAGGGAGGGACGGATGGAAGCGGGTAAGCACATAAGTGAGGGAGGAATCGTAGGAGGAGGACCGAGGAGCGGCGGTGAAGCTGGATGCAGACTGTCAGTTGTGTTTTAATTCACACTGTTTGTATTCTTCAGCAAAACAAAGAGTGGTGGTGATGGAGGAGGAGAAGGAGGAGTGGTGTGAGTGCACGGTGCGAAGGGAGAGGGAGAGAGAGAGAAAAACGCTAAAGCAGACAACTCAATTCAAAGTCAGCTTATCCTGTCACATGAATGGAAAGTGGAGATGAAAGCTCAAAGTTGGTAAGAGATGAAGGAAAAAGGAGTGGAGCCAAGAATAAAAGTGTTTATTCTGTTTATGGTTATTTCAGGAACGGAATCAGCCTAATTTGCCAAGTAAAGTGTGTTTACTCACCAGAGGAGAGGCTGGAAAGCTTTAACACGGTGTGTCTGCGCGTGAGTGTGTGAAAACACACTTTAAATAAAGATAACTGGCAGAATTAAACACCGCTTTTACTAAATGACCTTTAACTGTAATTACAGAAAGTTGGAAATGAAATCTTTGATATCGCAGATGTTTTGATCTGTTAACAGAATAAAAATCTGCTAAGAATGTCAAATTACTGCACACACACACACACACACGCACCAAGGTGTGTGTCAAACACTTCTTTAGCGTGTACCTCGCTCCTCGCTCGCCCGTAGACTCACAGCCTTCGCTAACACACGTAAACAGCCAGAGCTGGAGGTGCCGCCCGAGTGAGGACAGACCAATCACACCGCGAACCCATCCTGGGTGGGATGAGGCGGAATGGGATAATTGGATGCAGTTGCCGTGGTGATATATTTGAGTCTAACAGAGCGCTCACTGCCAGTGACCCAGACCAGAGCAGATGTCCCTCATGATTAGGGTATGGGGACTGTGTGTGAGCCTGTGCACATCTCTCGGCTCGACTTCCTTTACACACAAAGAGCAGAGCCTACAAACACACACAAGGGGTCACAGCTCTGATAACGGTGTCCAGAGGACGGCGCATGGATGCGTGACCTGTATGGTATGCGGTAGGACGTGTTGTGCTGTACGTACGTGTTTTTAACAGCTGAGTGGACACAGTGAATAAATCAAATTGGACCAGACTAAATGTCCAACTGAATTGATCAGGTTGACTTGGAAATGCCCCGTGCTAGGAATATGACATTAAGTTACCCTAGGCCATCAGATGGACCCGGATGCATGACCTATATAACAATACAACAGCCTCTTCAGCTTTCTCACAACAAAATCCGAA